GGGGGGGGCGACCTGGGTGGCTCAGCTGGGGTGGGGGGGGCCTGGGTGGCTCCCGGAGGACAGCTTACGCTGCTGCCAGCCCTTCGGGGCACCGGGAGAACACCTAGGGACGATGTCTGCCTTGAGTGGCTGTGGGCTGCCGGCCGGAGGCTGGGGTGAGCCACCTTTCCTGTCCCCCTGTGTCCCCACCCTCAGTACATGTACTGGACGATGCTCCAGCAGCTGACCCACCACTCTGTCAATGGCTGCAACCTTCGGCCAGGGGACCTCTTGGCTTCTGGAACCATCAGCGGGCCGGTGAGTCTCCGAGGACCTTCGGGCCTGCCCCTGTGGCCGGGCGGTCCCACGAGGCAGGGGCTCGTAGGCTCTGCTAGGCGTCCACTCTGCAGCCGACACGCTCACCACATGCGAGGCTTTCTTCCCTTTCCTGTTGTGAAGGAGCCCGAAAGCTTTGGCTCCTTGTTGGAGCTGTCCTGGAGGGGAACGAAGGCCATCGACCTGGGGAACGGACAGACCAGGAAGTTTCTGCTGGACGGGGATGAAGTCATCATAACAGGTGAGGGCGGACAGGCCTCGCGGGCTCCGTCCGACTTCCCTTGTCCGCGTGCCCCGTTGTGAGCGTGTGGCGCTCCAGGCTGGCCGAAGAGCCGTCTGTCCTCCCTCGTCCCCACTCTGGCGTCCCCGGGCCCGCGTCTGCGTGTTCTGACCTCCCGCCTCCACCGGCCTTGGCCTTGGCTACCCAGGACTTTACACCGCAGTCTCCACAGGGGGGACGCTCTGGAATGCGGTGACTGCCCTGGGATGGGAAGGTCAGCACCCTCACCTCTTCATGGTGCAAGCCGCCCCCCCCCTCGCCTCCCTGGATCATTTCCTCTGCTTCGGTTCAGGGTGTGAGATGGGTGGGACCCCCTGAAGCTCCACTGGCAGAGACGCCCCTGGTGTCAGGCCCAGCTCGCTGCCTGGGGCTGCTCCTGTGTCCCCGGGCTTGCTCCTCTGCGGGGTGAGGCTGTGTGCCTGGGCGGGCTGGCAGGTGCAGCGTGCTGGGCAGGGGGCAGCTTCCCACTCTGTGGGTGGGGTGGGGTGGGGTGGGGTGGGGTGGGGAGTAGCCCGAAGGTGGTTTCCAGGGAAGGGCCGGTGAGGTCGGCATGCCGGGACCCGGGTTCCAGAGAAGGAGTTATGCTGTCACCTTCTGTGTCCACAGTTGGAGGTGGGGGCGCTGGCTTTCCCCTCCGTCCAGGGCTCAGTGACGCTCCCTGACCTCTCGGGTACCTCCATCCCTGCGTGGATGCACCTGTGCCTAGCTTTCCTCTGGACCCAGCAGCGGCACCTGGGGGCTCGGGAAGACCCTGGGGTCCCCGCTCGTCTGGGTGTGGCTCCTCCCCCCCGCCCCCGGACCGGTGGGCTCAACCGGGACAGCTTCGCCCCTCAGGGGACAGTCACCGTCTTAGTTGTCCCTGGGTGGTGGCCGGGGATGCCGCTGAGCGTCCTACACCGGACAGCCCTTCATAGCGAGTGACATCTGGCCCCGGATGTCACTCGTGCTGGGGTAGAGAGAACCCCATCTTGGCCACCTGCTGTGCCAACAGTAAATGGGGAGGGAGCGGCCAGCCTCACGCCCCAGGATGGCTCGTCGTGGACCCTTGTTCGGGTAGCAGGTGGTGCGTTAGTGGGGGTGGCGGGGTCCCGGTGACGGATGGAGCACCCGTGTCGCGTGGGGGGCGGAGGGCAGCGTCCCCTCCGGGAGGAGGGCCCTCTACAAATGCTGCTTCCGAGCTCTCCCCTGGCTGCCGGCATCTCGTCCCCTCTCCCCGTCGGGTAGCAGGTGGGGCCCCTGATTTGGGGCCCGTCTGCAGCAGGTGGGGGATCTGGTGGTGTCTTTGTGTGAGCCGGGGTCACGGGCCAACCCCGGCAGGGGGTCACGGTCACCACCGCCTGGCGCGGCCCTCTTCAGCTCCTCTGGCCTCCACGCAGCCCGGGGTCCCGGGGGTGCGATCCAGTCTGGGGGCCCTGGGGCCCGAGGCCTCACGCCGACGCGTCTGTGTGTCCGTCCGTGTCCTCCAGAGCCACGCTGGGCTCCCTTCAAGACACAGCGGTAACGTGTCACTGTCTGGCTGGAAGCTGGTCCGTGTCCCCTCAGTGGCCTCAGAACACGGCTCGTCGGGGCTCTCAGCCCCCCGCCCCCTCCCCCGGCAGCTTCCCGGAACAAGTGCACCGCGCTTGTCTCCCCCCCGGGCTGTGTGCCTCCCGTTCCCTCAGTGTCCCGGTGAACTCCTATCCACCCATCAGATCCCAGCCCAGATGCCCCCTCCTCTCTGCTCCCGTGTCCTCCCTGCTGAGTCCGGTCCGCACAGGCCCTTCCGCTAAGCAGACCCTCGCCGTTGTTTCGGGGCATCGAGGGCCTGGAGCTCCCGCCTACGGAGCATCGCGCGGGGGGCCTCACCCAGATAGTCCGTCCAACCCTCACGACCCCGAGAGAGGGGCCGCGCTCAGAGGCCGAGCGTGTGGCCCCCGTCACTCGCTCGCCACCGCCACAGCAGCTGGCACCCGCTGGGCGTTTGCGGGTCCCGTGTGTCAGGCGTGGCAGCCCGTGGCAGCCCCTGCCGTAGGTACCGTCCCGCGATCTGCTTCGCAGATGAGGAAGCTGGGTTCTGGGGGGCCCCTGGCCACGGAGCGGCCAGGCACTCCGTCAGCAGACGTGCGGTTTGACCCCAAACGCACTCGGGGGCGGAGCGCGCCCGTCAGGAAAGCCGCGGGTCCGGTGCTCCGGAGGGTCCCTGGCGGCAGGTGCACCTACCGTTCCGTGTCCGCGCCCCCGCGGCTCGGCTCAGCTCCGGGAGGGTCGCCCGTCGTTGCCCGTCGTGTTTGTCGTGCTGCCGAGGGCCCAGCTGCGTGCCTGACCCTGTCCTCCTCCGCCCCAGGGCACTGCCAGGGGGACGGGTACCGCGTCGGCTTCGGCCAGTGTGCTGGGAAAGTGCTGCCCGCTGTCCTGCCCGCGTGAGGCTCTGCGCATCCCGGATGTGACCTCACCGCCCCTGCCCGGGGATCCCCGCCGTCCGCGGCCGCGGGCCTGGCTCCTTGTTCAGTGGTAAATAAAGCCGTCGCGCTCGGTGTCCATGCTCGAAGCCCCGTGCCGTCCCGTGCGACCTCTGCTCGTGCTCTTGATCGGACCCACAAGTCAGGGTGTGTCCCACTTCACGGTCTCTGCGGTTGACCAGCGAGGCTCATCGGTCACCGTTCCTATGAGACACCCCGGCCCTCCCCGCGCTCGCTGGTGTGGAAACAGCGGCCCCTGCATTAGAGTCCTCCGAGAAACAGAGACGATAGGATGTGACGTGTGTAGAGAACTGCGCTTTAAGGAATTGACTCGTGATTGTGCAGGCTGGCAAGTCCAGAATCTGCAGGGTGGGCCGGAGGCTGGAGGCCCAGGGAACAGCTACAGTGTGAGCTCGAAGGTGGTCTGCTGCAGAATTCCCTCTTCTTCTGGGGAGAGCAGGCCTTTTTCTCCTAAGGCCTTCACCTGATGAGATGAGGCCCACCCACATTATGATGGAAGGTGGTCTGGTTTACTCAGAGTCCACCCGCTTAAATGTTCACCTCATCTAAAACATGCCTCCACAGTAGCCTCTAGACTAACGTTGGCCCAAACCTGCGGGTACCATGGCCCGGCCAAGTGGACACGTAAAATCATCCTAGCACCCCACACATCCAGTATCTCTTGGGGGGCTGCCTCACGGGGGCACGTGAGGAGCAGACTTGGTCCACGGGCTCCGTGGCTGTCTCAGCACATGGCGAACCTTGGGCGGAGCCCCCAAGTTGTGGGCACACACACCTGAAGTGAACAGATGCCAGGGCAGAAAAGGGGCCAGGGGGCTAGCTTTCCTTCCCTCGTTGGCCCACAAGACCCACAAGGATCCGGGGAGTGAGCCCCGCCCCATGTCCTCCGCCCTGCCCACGACAAACATGCAGCCCCAGTCCCAGCCTGGTTCCTCGTGCCCACGGTGACTTTTCTGGAGCCGGACGGACCTCATGCCAGAGCCTGTCTGTCAGATCATGCCATTCATTCATTCATTCGTTCATTCATTCATTCTGTCTTCATCAAGTGTCTTCTCTGTGTCAAGCACCGTTCTGGGCACAGAAGACCCAGCACAGAATAGCCCAAACCTCTGCGCTTGTGATGTTCACGTTCCAGTGGGGGGCAGACAATAAGTGCAGGGGCAAGAAGACCCCCAGTTTGCAGGATAGTGTAAGTCCTCTGGAGCACTGGGGGGCACGGATGCTATAAACAGGTGCTCAGAGAAGGCCTTAGTGTCTTGGGTTCTAAGTGCTTTTCTGCCAGATGGCCGGAGGCAGTGAGGGAGCAAGCCGGTCGGAGGTCTGGAGAGGGAATGCTCCAGGCAGAGGGACCGGTCAGTACAAATCCCCGGGGATGAAGCATGCTTCTCACTTCCGGGAACATTCCAGGGCCCGGAACCGTGGCGTTCGGAAGGCAACGCCACAGCGACACTGAGGGCCCACGTTGCTCGTCCCCACACGTGTTTTTCATCCTTACAGTGAAACCACCTCACGGTGCCACAGGCTGCTGGAGCTCCAGCCAGCACGCCTGAGTTCTAGGTGCACAGAAAAAGAAGATGAAGAGGTGGAGGCTGGGGCGGGGGGGCGGGGGATGGAAGCAGCCCCCTTCCGGCTGAGCTGTGTCGCTCACGCGGCCGTCCCAGGCGCGCAGCACCACACCGTTGGCGGGAACCTGGTGACAAGACCATACCTCACCGCAGGGAAGTCTGGGGATGTCACCTTTTAGCTGCGTTCATGGTTTCTCCAGTTCAAACCAGGGTTCAGTTGCTAAAGAAGGAGGGGAGCAGGGATACCGGGGGGGGGGGCGCCAGTAGCCTGCAGCCCGCAGGCTGGGCAGGGGCTTCGCGCTCTGAGGCTGACCTGCTCTTGCCCAGGGGACTCTTGCCACGGTCTCCAGTCTCGGCCGGTTTCGGCGGAAGATCCTGTGCAGCGCAGACGGCCGCAGACCACCCAGGCCCCTACCCTCCAGACAAGACTGATCCAAATACCCTCTGAGTTTGCAAGGCCAGCCCCTTCCTGGGGGGTCTCCTCGGTTCCTGGGGGCCGGTGCCCCAGGACCACGTCCGTGTCTGTCGCTCCCCCGAGATCCCCGCTCTCCAGCTGGGTTTTGCTCCTTTAGTTCTGTCTCCTGGCTCCAGTCTGCACGCGCGACCGTCTTTTCCTTGAAGGCCTCGCGTCTACATAGCAGAACAGCTGGCACGCCCGGCGGGGCTCCCGGAGGTCTCCGGCTGGCGGACGGAAGTCGTTTGAATCATTATCGGTCCATTTGGCCCCGCTGGCGCCAGGGAATGCTGATCTCAGCCGTTGAAGTCACACGGTCCCACCTCGCCGTGCACTTGAAGTGCCCCCGGGGCAGGCGGTGCCGCAGGAGCATCGGAGCCTAGACACGGGGCCGGTGGGGCCGGGCCGGCCGGGATCCGTGCAGCCAGAGCGGCGGGTCTCAACACGGGTCCATCCGGGACCCCGTCCAGCAAGCACTGCTCCTTGGGCCTGGCTGCTCTCCTGGGTCCGGAAGTGCCCCGGGCAGCCCAGGGGACAAGGGAGCCAGTGGTCTTTACGCCCCGAGGCAAACCGCTCCCGGTTCCGCCTGTTTCGTTCCTGCTTCCTGTCCCTCGCGGCCCCTGGCGAGGGTACACGGATGAGCCAGGAGCCCTGCGACCCAGGGTAGAATCCCTTTGAGACGTGCCCTGAGCAGGAGGGCCAAGGCCAGAGGGGTTTCTGGCGGGATGGTCACGCTGGGGGTGCCGGCTGGACTCGGGGGCACCCCATTGCCCTGGGCCCGGTGGAGCCCCTGTGCGGGGGGGGGGGGGGGGAGGGAGGAGAGCCCCTTTGCCTCCAGCGCCCCCCGCCCCTGCCCTGCACCCTCTCCCTGACACTGGTCCAGCTTTGAGTGCTGCTGCACAGTTAGAGCGGGCCGGGGGAGGCTGGCCTCTGGCTGTCCCCTCCTTGGGGACAAGGGAGCTTTAGGGCTTTAAGTATGGTGAGGATTGTTTCTCCCAAGATTCTACAATTGGAAAAGATAAGACAAAATAGGCCGAGAGAGGAGGATTAGGGCCTGAGGTCCCTGGTGGGGGGGAACACCCATTCTGGAACAATGCTGGGAGTGCCCGGCCACAGCCGCCCCCCTCGGGAGAAGGTTTCTCTTAACAATGTGCCAGACCCCACCTACCCCCTCAGGTTTCCCCCAAGAATGGCCTCAGGCCACCCCTCACCCAGCTGAGCGGAGCACCCAGCGCCTAGAGTTGTGCCCCCAGTAAGGGTGGGACCTGGGAAGGCGCGAGGGGGAGGGGAGAGGGGAGGAGAGACCAGGACCTTCTACGGCGAGGACCCCCGCCTGGAGTCCTCAGGCGTTCACTCCCGACTGTCCCCCGTCTGTACACAGGGCTTTCCGACCACTCTCCCGGTCTCATCTGTTCTAATAAACTTTTGCCAGCGGCTCGTTTTGTGCGGGGACAAAGCGGTGGGACAGCTGGTCCCGGGTATTGTGGTAAAAACTCCCACAACAGTCCCTCGCACAGAATGGATCTCAAAAGAGGTTCTATTTTCATTTTTTTTTCTTTCTTTAATTTGGAGGCATATTAAAAATTTTTTTTCAGGTTTATTTACTTATTTTGAGAGAGAACAAATTGGGGAGGGGCAGAGAGAGAGAGGGAGAAAGAGAATCCCAAGCGGGCTCCACGCTGTCAGCACAGGCTCGAGCCCACGAACCGTGAGATCGTGACCTGGGTGGACATTGAGATCACGACCTGGCTCAACCGACTGAGCCCCTCCAGGCGCCCCAGGGGGCATATATTTTCTAACGACCTCAGGAAAAATTTCCGTGGGGGGATTGCCTTCCAAAGTGTGCATCTGTGTCCTGTATGTGTCCCTCTCTGTCCCTCCCCTCGGCGGTGTCCCCGGCCTGAGGGAGAGGCAGAAAGGACTCCCAGATGCCCCTGACGAACGGGAGAGGGCAGAGTGGAGGCTTCCTGGCAGATGTGTTTGTTTTTCGTGGTCACACAGACTAGTAACGCTGTGCCGAGAGCACATCCAGAGGCTGGGCAGCGGGTCCTTTCCTAGGGGGGCGGGGGGTTGGGGACGGAACATCTCTGCGGCCACCGAGGACTTGACCCCAGAGATCAACAGACCGCTGCTGTCTGTGACGATCCGAGCCACGTCTTCCTTCTCTAGATGTGGGGCTCCCGAGGGCAGAGTTGTTGGCTGTTGCTGCTGGAAGGTTCTCCAGCACCTAGCACTGACCCGCCAGCACGTGGCAGGCACTTCGCCTGCATTTGCTGAACAGATGAATGGATCCCGGGAGACCACGGGCGACGGGATTCTGTTGTATTCACAGATCCACCCCTGAAGCCAGGGACCCGCGGAGGCTCCCTTCTGCCTCGACGTTTCAAAGCTCAAGCTCGATGGTGAAATAAAACACATTCTCTTCTCCGACCCCGACATGCTTTGATAAGGACGAGACAAAATTTCAAAGCTATCTACGGAGTTTGAGGGTTGAAAAGGGGCAACATAGCAAACTAATTTATTTTCCTTTTTTTTTAAACTGAAGTTTAATGAATACCCAGTGACCTGTTGCATTCGGACGTACGGTACAGGGATTCGACACCCACACGCCACCCGGTCGTCGCGATCCCCTGTCTCACCCCACCCCCTCCCCTCTGCTGACCACCAGTCTGTTCTTTGCATCAGACACAACAGTTTGATCGCTGTACCTGAACAGTGTTGGCCGTTTCGGATGACCGCTGAAGACCTACAGATACATGACTTGTTTCACAAACGTTTTCCAAGAAAGTTTTAAGGTTTATTGCCTTCATCTCGTTAGAATCACTATTTTGTCATAGCCAGGCTTTTCGCACAACGTGGGCTCCATTGACAGACGAATCTCCGTGATTAAAAAAGTAAACCGACTTGTACTCAGAACGTCCAAAAGGTAAATATTTTCACCCAAACCCTTAAGGTTAAAAATTGCAAAACTAAATTTATCCTCTGTGCGTTTTCTGCGTTAGTTTTCTTTGATAATATTGAAACTTCCCACTACAATTAAAGGCACGAC